CACCGATTTGCGACGCTTTGGCGGAGCTTCTTCTTTGGGTTTCTCTTTCTCGCGCTCCTTCTCGTGGTTGTCCCTCGCCTTGCTCCGCTCCGCATCCTTCTGTGCATGAATGTCGCCGCTGTGCTTGGCATTGGCATTGCCACTGCTGCTGCTGCTCGTCTGTTTCTGTTTCGAGGGCGACTTCTCGGGCGTGACCTTGCCGCCGTAGGTGCTGGCGTGCGAGAGCTCAAAGAATGACTTTTTGGGATCCTTGGAGGCCTCCTCGTGGCGCTTCTTGCGCTCCTGCTCGCGTCGCCTAAGCTCCTCCTCGCGCAGTTTGTTCTCCTCCTCGATGCGCTCCAGATCCGACAGCTTGATGGTGCGTTTCTGGGCATGCTTCCAATGCGGCGGCGTGATACTCTTCGATCGGCTGCGCGAGGGCGTGCGAAAGCGCTGTGAACAGAATCGAATAAATTATGGATTAGTCTGTATATATATCTGGATTTTAGCTATACTGAATTCTTACAAAGACGCCGCGTCCTTTGACAATGCGACCGCTGCGCGAGGTCGGCACCTGCTTCTTTGACCAACCAAAGACGTTGCGATTGCGCTCTCTTCCTCTGTCCCGATCCTCGCGATCGCGCTCGCGATCACGGTCACGATCACGATCACGCTCCCGATCACGATCACGATCATGTTCACGCTCACGCTGGCGCTGGCGCACATCACGTGAAGCATCACGACCACCGCGCTCCTCACGCGAACGTGATCTCTCAGCGCGCATTAGGAATTTGTTGGAAACCTGCAGAGAATCAAATCAAAAGTCTTTAAGGCAACAATAGAGAAGGAGAGAAGGAATCCACGCATCAAACTATGTGGTATATAGTCTCTAAAGTTATACAATATAATATTAATATATAGACTGTAGATAATATATACTATGTATGATATAGCCAAAAACAGTCCAAGCTCAGATAATTTGCTTCTTGTACCTCTGGTATCTCGCTGGGATCAATTTTCGTCAATGTGACCAACGGGTGTATCTCGCCTTCCTCATCAGAGTGCTCCTGGCGTCCATTTCCACGCGCAGCACGTCCCGAATCGCTGCTGCAGTGGTTAACAAATTATTAAGCTAAGAAGGCAATTTCTTGACTTGAGAACATACTTTTCACTGTCGCTGGATTTGGAGTCCTTGCGTGAGCGTTTCTTTTTTAGTTTATCCTTGCGCTGCTTTGCTGCCTGCTCATCAGTTTCGCTCTCCGATTCCTCCGTGGCCGTTGAACGCTTTCGGCGTTTCTTCTCCTTTTTGGCCGCTAATTGGTGAACATAAATTCAGGTTATTTTGATTATCCGACTTGATATGCGATTCAGCATCGACTCACTCTTTGTTTGCTTGACTAACTCGCCACAGTTGGCTATGGCCGCATCCTGCAAGGGGCGCGAGTTGCGATCAACGGGCAGATCCTCTAATTGACGCACCAAATCCTGACCGGATATAACATGACCGAATACAACATGGATACTGCAAGTGGAAAATATCAATTAGTTTGATGCTTCAATTGAGCAAGTTTAAACAGAAACTAGAATCAGAGCTGGAACTATTTAATCGGATTATGAGCAATTATAGTGAAAAGCCTTTTGGATTAAAACATTCCTAAGTTCCTTGCATTTTGATCTTAAATGTTAAATATTTGCAGACATATAGTGAAGGACCTATTATGAATTGGTTCAAAGAGTAAAGTTAACTAGTTTCAATATTAATGAAATTGAATGAAATTGTTACTTTTATAGATCAGATGTACTCGTATATAGGAGAATGAAATTTTTTAAGATGAGTCCTAATTAGTGTAAAGACTTAAGTTTGTTAAACTAGTTTAGGTTGGTATTAAAACTAAATGGTCTGATTATGGCCAATAATAAAGCAACTTTTTATTTAATCGAAAGCAACTCTATGATTTTTCTATTCCTCCAAGTTTTTATTTATTTATTTTTTTTTTAATTCTCTAAGTTTTTGATTTCACTAATATTTTTTAATTTCTGTATTTTATTTTTTTTAAAAAATTTTTTTTTTATACTCAAATCTTTTGTTGTAATTTTTTTTTATTATTTTTTTCCTTTTTTATTTCTTCCTTTTAATAGAATATTTATAGACTACAGAAAACACTTTTTTTTTTAATATGATTGACTATGGACTAATGGACTAATGGACTAATGGGGATAGCTTTTTTTTATTGGTTGTAATTACAGGGTAGTGCCAGCCCAAGGTATCCAAGTTTTCTATTTTTTTACTAGTTTAATCAATACATTAGACTATTTGACTAAGTTAAACAAATTCCACTTACTTGTCCAAGTGTGGTGCAGGCTGTGTTGTACTACAATGAAAAACAGAAGAGAAGTTTTTTTTTCTTTACACAATGCAAACTTTGTGGTTGGTAGGCGAGATTTGTTGTAGTTTTTTTTTGTTGTAGAGCTGTTGTTGTTGTTGCTGTTGTTGTTGCTGTTAGCGGCAGCTGTTGCTACTGCTGTCGTTGCTGCTGTTGTTGTCGTTGTACTTAGAGGTGATGCCAGGCAATGTGTGTGCAAACAGCAAACTAAACGATATCGGATGGAAGACTGCAGCTGGAAGTGGAGCGTCCCGCCCCAGTTTGATTAGCCATCACAGCCTGGACACATCACATCGATTGGGCTATTGCTCAATAACAGCTGTTAGCTGTTGCATATGTAGGCGCTGTTGTTGTGCTGTTGTTGCCCTCTGTAGTTGTTGCTGTAGCTCTAGCTGTTGCAGTTGCCAAGGACAGCCGCATGAAGGAGGGTTCAGTGTGAGGCCTCTGCTACGCGTCAAGGTGCACCCACAGACAACACACACTTACACTGACACACACAGACGCGCGCACACACACACACCTGACACCCGCAGACGCCCACCTCACACAGAGGGTGGGGGCGCGTGCATTTAGAGGCCGGCCCTTGGGTTGGAGAGGGGGAATTGAGTCGTAGTCGATGTCGATGGGTGGTGGCTCAGTCCGCTGGTCAGAGATATTGCATACACTCGCTATGCGGCTATGCGGCTATGCGGCTATACGGCAATAGATCAATGAACAACAACAGAACTTTAAATAGATATGCAAAGTACAGAGTAAAAGATTGTTTAACATATTTATGAGTTCAGAGTTCATTTAGATGGCTGCAAGAGAAACGTTAACAATTTTCACGGGGATTCAATTGGAAATGGATTTAACTTTAGTGATCCCCAGCTCCGGAACGGAACCCACTTACATAAAGAACTGCGAGCCATTCGTATTCTTGCCACGATTGGCCATCGACAGCAGAAAGGGACGATCGTGCTTCTTATCAAAGCATTCGTCTGAAAGAAATGAAAAGTTGGAAATATTTAGTAATATATATTGTTGAGCAAACGAAGTGCTAAAACCAATAAGAAGTATTACAGATTATAATTCTTGTGGAAAGTTTGTTTATATACAACAATTGCCTTCGTCTGTAGTCTCAAAGATATCTCCTGAATTGAATATCTTGAATTCTTCGCTCTTAAGTCAAATTCATTTTTAAAAAGAGTTTTAATCGATAACATTTAAATGGCAATTGTTATCGATTCCTTTTTAGATAAGCCACAGTTCTTATAGATAAAAATATAAATCATTTCTACTTTTAAGCAAATATTATGTATATTACAATAAACAAAATATAAAGTATATATTTAATACATGAAAATATAAAATGTTTATTTCATTTGCTTATTATTTATTATTTGATATTTACTAGAGAAAATATGAATTTATCTCTTTTCAATAAATAAACACAAATATTCAATATAATTATATTAAATAGGCTCTAAAATTAAAGCACAGCCATTAGATCGAATTAATTGATAGCACTTTGTATGTATGCACACATATGCATACACAAGCAATCATGTACACACACACACACACACACACACAGTAGCTACCTAAGAGAGTGAGAGACACTGAGACTTACCCTCGAAAGTGCCGCCATAAATTGATTCGCCGCCGGTACCGTTGCCTGCACTAAAATCGCCCGCCTGCACCATAAAGTCCTTGACCACACGATGGAATATGACACCTTTGTAGTGCAGCCGCTTGCCAGTGACAAGTCCGGTGCCCTTTTCGCCCGTACACAGTGCACGAAAATTCTCAACCGTTTTGGGAGCTACATCGCCAAACAACTCGAAAACGATGCGACCGATGCTCAGGCCGCCGAGCGTTATATCGAAAAAACAACGCGGTCGCGTTGTGCTCTCCGCGTCCCGTTTATTTACCGTCATATTTTCAGTTAAATGCAATCGAATTTTTATGTTTTTATCTGCTCACTTTTCTCACGTTGCACAACTTTTTCTTTTCTATTTTTTTTTCTGTAATGAACTCTGCGTTTGTGAACAACCAGGGCTGCCAAACGTCAAAGAGAAATGTTGTATGTGTCAGGGCTGCAAACTGTGCTGCCAATGCAGCCAATGAGTTTAAAGGAACCAATAGTTCCGCTCATTGCCGGAGGCGTTAAATTAATATAATTGCAAATGCTAAAAATATTTCAAAATAAGAAAATATATATAAATAA